TACAAGGCTCTGAAATGTGACAAATTGTCTTCTCTTTTTCACTGCGGCCTTTTTCACCTGGGGTAACCTTGAAATTGCACTGAATTCCTCTTTTGCACTTCATTTCAAATTTGCAATGAATAAACTAGAAACTAGGCTTTAATCCATTTAAATGATTAACTAATTGACTGGCTAATTGATAGGTTGATTGGCTGGTTGATGGACCAGCATAAAGACTGATTAGTACTTGAAAATTTTTAAGTACACTTGTGAAGTGCATCAACTCATTGTTTTCTATGTACTTCTGTTATTGACAAAATATCCTGTTAAAGTTCTGGTTGGTCTCTGAACTGATTTATTCATGGCCTGTGTACATGTAATTGTTTAAGATAACAAATCAACTAGTAGAACTGGCATGGTGATTGACTGGCAAACAGATGACTAACAGGTTGACTCATTGATAAACTTATTATATGTACACTATTTGACATACTGACCAGGGGAACTTCTCAGGCAGTGAAATAAGTAGCAATGAGTGCTTCCCTTTGGCAGTTTGTTAAGCAAATGTAAAGAGCAAGCAAGGTGAATGAGTGACTAACTGACTGACTAACTAAACTGGCAACAGATAAAATGATTAGCTGAATTGCAGACTGACACAGACAGACAGACAGACAGACAGACAGGCAGGCAGACTGACTGACTGACTGACTGACCTCTTAGCTGACTGATTCACAGACTAGTTGAGATTATGTCAGCAAGACATCAACATTATGTTGAGGGTTGTACAGGGGTATTCTTATGATGACTTTATTTTCCGTGAAATGTGAATTTAGGTTTGTCAGTGACCAGACCCAAATTTCCTCTCAGCCAAATTTTGAATCACGCAACCTGTGAAGTTTATTCGCCAAAAGCTGTTGAAACATTGATACACGGAAAATGTTGCAGATATTGTTTTCTTTATAATGTGTGTAAAATATATTTTCTTTTGGTTTTATCAAAGCGTTGGATTCGAAGGGAATAAAAAATATGCTTAAAAAAGATATTACGTCAGCCATGGAATGCTCAGACATTGCAGCTTTCACTTTTGCTGTGTGACAAATAAGATTGTGTTTACTTTGCAAGTTTATTTTGCCAGAAGCGACGGTCATTAATTTATTTGCAATTTTGCAAGTATTTCTTGTGGGTTTAAGCAAATAAAGTGAATTCTTTGGCTGTTTCATCGCAGTGAGTTAAGAGATCTAAAAGAAAATTAAATATTTGCTGAGCTAAACAGGAGCTTGTCAGAACTTGCAGCGTTTCTGTCAATGCTAGGGGAAAACAACACAACCATTCTAAAATTAGCTGTGGGTAGCGTAAACCTCAGATTGTGTGACTTGCATGACTTTACTTGTCATTTACACATAGCACAAACAAATTAAATTTTGACTTTTAAGGAAGAAAGCTGTTTATTATAGATAGCGTAATTAATGGTGTGACACTTGTTTCCTTTTTGGTATCATTGATGGGTATGTCCCGAGCGAACTTCCAGATTAAGACCATTACATCATCAGAGATTTCACAAAGGCTAAGAGTGATGGTGTAATAACACAGTTTGTGTAGACCAAGTGATGTGGTGTCTACAGTAATCAATGAATCATCAAGGACTGCTTTGGAATGTGCACTGCATGGTGACAGTAGTACTAAGAAAACAGTTAAATTTTAAAAGTGAGGTTATAAGATCTAACAGATCTTCTTGTTGGTTATGATCTGTGACTTGAAGGTTTGGTGTGACCCATGAAGAACTTGAATTATCAACTGACATTCATGATTTAATCACTGTATTCTATCTGACTTTGAGATGCAATTCCTCCAAGGGATTTATTATGACTGAAAACATCAAATGTGACCTCTGTATAATTATTATGACGCTTTGTAAGGCATCCGCAACTACCAAGTAACAGAGCTTTCCTTGATGTCCTTCACTTGATTTTCAAAAATGTCATATGGCCTAGTAACACTCTTTAGAGCATAAGAGCAGGTTATTAAAAAGAGTACCTTGCTTGCTTATGTTCACGATTCAGGAAAATGAAATTTCGATGTCGGTGATCTGTAATTCACTATTTTTTCATCCATGAACCATGCCAGAGACCCCGTCCTTTACAACCCTCTGAACTGCAATGTTAAGTACATGGTAATTATAAAAACTTGTATACAATTATTTCTTAGCCTGACAAATAAGTCTTCTTTTTTTTCCAGATCAGATGTCAACAAGGAGAGAGTGGACTAAATCTTCAAGCAGTTATCTTTAGAAGGGCTGCATGTTCTATTTTGCAATCCAACTCTTGGGTGAACCAGGTAAACAAAACTCTTGAATAAGCCAAGTTCTGCTCTGATTATATAACTTCAGACATGCAGTTTGTGCCTTGATGATTTACACAATGAGTAAGAAAAGCTATTAAATCACACTCTTTTAAACACATCGTCCATGAAATTGTTAAATTTATCTTCTGCAGCCAAAAGTGATGTTCAAAAGTAAGATGTTTTTTCAGAATTAGATTGCATTTTCACCTTCAAAGAAAATTTTTGAATTGGCGATTTTATAACTTAGTGAGTAATTGGGCTGCAGTACCAATTGACTGGCTGATGGACATTGTTAAAGTAGCTGTGGTCTATCCCGTTTGTTTGGTACATTAACAATGAGAGAGAATTCCAGGTAAAAGTGACAGAAACCAAAATTTCATTCTGGGAAAATGATCCTGAAACTGGCACAGTAAAACGCACAGTATCCAAACTATGTACAATATATAACTCAAACATAAAGGACTGACTGATGGACTGACTTACTGACTGACGTACTGACTGACTAACTGACTGACTGACTGACTGA